TTTAAAGGCATGGGTAATTAATCAATGGAAGTTTTCACAAACACAAGCATAAGCCTTCAGATAATGAGGATTAAGCTTTCTTTGCAACCTGAAATATTATAACACTGTTCCCAAACATCTTCTCAACAGATTGCTCTTACCTATCTGTAATTGTTATGACACAGAAACTAAAAGATCATATTGCTTCAGATGATCCAGCTTAGAAAGGCAGCCTTACACATGATACGTGGGAATAAAGTTTCGCCTTTTGTGGGCCCTTTTCTTTTCTCAGGGATTTTACATTTAAGAATTAAGGGGAACTAGAAAGTAAAACTAAAGGGTTAAAGTAGAAATACTTTATATTACATTTTTGTGTGGGTTATTGGTACTGTTGGTTTCATTAAATGTTCATCTTATATAGTTTCATTATGTGATATTTTATATTTTAATCCCATGTAATCAGACTAGTGAAATTGTTCTGATGTGGAAAATTCATAACACTAAGAGGAAATATCCACTAATTTATTCAGCGTTTGTTACACAAAAAGAGGACATTCCCACAACAATGGGAAAGAAAGTTTTTTATGGAAATTGAGGGATCTGATTTGTAGCAACTTTGAGGGAAATTGCAGATTCTTGAGAGTATACAGGTAGTCCTTGACTTACAATTGAGTCCAGAATTTTTGTTTTACGTCATTGCAGCTGTAAGTTGACTCATTATGTAACCAAACTCAAAATTACAACCATTTTTCAGAATCCAATATGAGTCAGTCATTGGGATCATAAGCTTATTCTTCCAAGCTTTGGGGCTTGTGCTGGAGCCCATCTTCAATTAATTTCACTCTCTCTCCATGTACAACACTGGTGTCAAACTTGCCATGTCATGTTGCCGTCACATGGCATTTTGCGAAGTTCCCGCCCCTTGCAGAGCTGGTTGGGCGGGGCTTGTGTGTGATGCATCCGGACCATGGACCGCCAGTTTGACACCCCTGGTATACAACCATTTTTATCAAGGAGATTTTGTTTCTGGGTTTTATTGCTTTGTATGAGCCACCCAGAGTCACAAATGTAAGAAAGATGAATATACAAATCAAATGAAATAACATCTATTTTCTTCACAGTTCATATGAAATAAATCAAGGGATCACTGAGTATGCTGAAGTCCTGAAGTCCCCCACTCATAGAAAACTAGCTTATAAATTAAATAGAATGTTCTGTCCTCTTTAACTTATCATGACAAAAAAGTCCCTTTGTTTATAAACATTGCACTTTTAATATTTTCAGCAAAACGTGGGACATGAGAAAGGAAAAATGAGGTGGGTTTCCCCATTAGACAACTTAAAGGAAGCAGAGAGTCAGCCCCCCGGGGGTGTTGTTGTGAGTGGTTGTTGATGAAGATCAGCACATACTGAACATGCCCGGGTTGTGCACACTTTTATAAAGATTTGGACCAGGTCCTTTAGATCTCGTATATACAGATAGAAGCCTGAAAAAAGACATAGCTGGTTTAATTGGCATCAGAGAGAACTGCACTCATGGAAGATTTGAAATATATCTTCTAAGTCACTTTTGATGCATTTACACAGTCTTTACTTTCCACATTTCAGATATGTTTTCATCTCTGCTGGTTCAATTGGCAAAAAATATATAGGGTATCTATCATTCCCAATATTGTTCAAATGAATACAGAATATATACAATTTATAAAGCAAACTAATGACAGGAAAATCAACCAAATGCTGCATGCTGGTTAAAAAATGTATAAACAGCCTTCAACTGGTGTTTACCTGATGTGTTGGGAAAGTGGACTGAAGAATTCAAGAACATAATGAGACACTCAGATTGGTTGGATACAATCAGTAGCAAACTTTAGTTAAAAGATATATCTTTTTTCCCCCTCCAATTCCAATTTTCTTCCCTACATTGTCTTCTATATTTATATCATTTTATTTGTAATTATGACTTACTTAATAAAATAAAGCTAATTATTTTCTTAAATGCAGCCTGTTGAACTAGTGTCAGACAGAGTACTCATCAAAAAATATGAAGCAGCCATTTTTTTCTGATCTTTTCAAAGCGATGTATACCTTCCATTAATCTTCTCCCACCTACCCCACAGAAGAATGACATAATTATAGTAAGCCTTTTTCTATCTTTTCAGCATCCTAGTTCTTTCTCTGCTCCTTCATTTAAGATGCCCATCTCATAATATGAGTCAGTATTCCTTTTAAGATTTTTCTATAAAAAAAGGGCAGTGACCTCCATCAAAGCAAAGAATCTTTTTCTAAAGTGTGACCAAAATAACTACAAGTGGATTAATTGCTAACCAGAATGTCAAGTTATTTTTGAGTTGTGATTGATTTTTGGTGACTCATGTGGACCATTTAGAAGTGGTTTGGTTCTCCCTTTTTTAGGATGACCAATATTAGTGAATTTATCTGTAACTATGAAGGATTTGTGTGTGAGAGAGAGGAACCTAGAAAATGCATAAGTGCCCATTTTGACTGCTTTCTTCAATAAGATAAGATTATGCAGATGAATAACAATGAGAACAGTAAGGTGGGAATGCTTCATTGCAATTATTTCCCCAAGGTAGACCCAAACATAGACTTATATGTTGGTTGACCATATTTATGTTTTGTTTTTCTTATCTTGAACTGCTTTCTACTTTAATTATTCTAGACTTTGTATTGATTTCTATCACATAGCAGTGATAGAAATTTGTACATTCAAAATGAAGTTGCTTTCCATACAAAGTTGCAGTGAGCTAGCTTGGATGGTGAGGAATCATACGTTGTTCTTTTTCATGCCTGCGTGCATTTGTGCAGAGACACCTTACTTACCAGCTGTTATATAAAGCTGACCAAATGAATTAAAAAGGGCTTTTAGTTTATGAGAAAGTTTACTTATCTTAGAGTAAGCTTTGGTGAACTGAGTATTTTCTGAGTAGATATATAGAGTTATTATTTAACTGCTGTGAGGTTATCATTACAATATCTACCTGGGCCCTAGAATACCCCAACTCCCATTAATTTGTTGCCAAAATTCAGCTGAACAATTTACGTATTTGTAATAAACTACTTTGGAATAGTTGCTAATTATTTGAAAATTCTAAGGTTAGGAAGTAAATTAAAAGAAACCAGAATTCTTCATATTTAAGATTTACATATTAACTCTATAGTGCTCTACTTGATGAGAAAGTGGCTTGAATATGTCTGCGAGCACTTATAAAAAAAGAGAAAGCTACATATAAAAACTCAACAATATGTATTCATTTTGAAGGAGAGAAACAAAAACAGAAATGTGGGAATGTGCTAACTTTCTTCTGAACTCGAAGAAAGCATATGATTGGTCAGTGCTTGCTTTCATTATTCATTTTACTTAATTAAATATTAATATCCTGGCTGTTCATAGCTAGCCTCATAGACTTTTCCTTTCTGCTCACTGTTGAAAATAGCCCTGGTCACAAGACACATGAGGAAGTCTTAGACTACTTACTTTCTCAAACTATTTTTAAAAATATGAATTTGAATTAAGAGTTCCCCTTAAAAATTCATCTTTTATCTTCATTCTTTAAAAATGGATCCTGTCTTATTGTAGTCTTTCATATCTGGTGTTCTCCAAACATTCTCCATTACCCAGCTACTACGCTCATTATCCCAGTGGGAGTGGGAATTTGATACATGTTGAAGGTACCACATTTGAACCAAGTTGCCATTACTGTATTTATACAATATTCTACAAGTTTCTCCATTACATAATATGGAGATCCAGTTGAATACTCTATGAGTGAGTCAGAATTTTTTAATTGATGTATTTTAACCATTAAACAAGGTTCTCTGGTCTTGAATCAAAATGTGTTCTTTTTTTGTTCGAGGCATGTTGTTGTAAACAAATAAGTAGCTCTGCTAGCAAATAAATGTCTAAAGCTAGAATTCACACGGAGTTTGACAAAATGCCAGAAAAACAGCATGTGCCTTTGCAGTATCCATTAAGTTTGTGATACTAACCATCTTTATGACAATTGGTATTCTTCAGCCAATTATTTTATTTTTGATTCCTCCTGAATACTTGTCTTCTTCTGTCCAGACTCCTATTCCTCCTCACTCTTAAGGCAACAGCTTCTGACTTCATGAATAATAAAAGGCAAGATCTTTTTATTTCTTAGTTGACTCCTAATGAAGATAGATAGATGGATGGATGGATGGATGGATGGATAGATAGATAGATAGATAGATAGATAGATAGATAGATAGATAGATAGATAGATAGATAGATAGATAGATAGATAGACAGACAGACAGACAGACAGGAGAGAGAGAGAGATCTGTAAGAAATTGCCTATAAAATGAAAGACATTTTTTGGCGCTGAGGGCTGAACTCTCCAAAGGGCCCCGCTGCGCAGCTTAATTTTATACCAACTACAGAGGGAATCCTGCGATTCTCTTGGGGCTGCCATTTCCCAGAGTGTTTATTTACCTCAGTCTGCACGGCTCAGCTTCTGTTTTTCTTCGTGCTGCATGCGCTGCATTAATAGGATTAACCTCTGTTTCAAGGGGTGGGGGGGGATCGGAGTTAATTCCCTTTTAGTCAGGAATACAATGTTCCGAGAGAGTTTTATACGGTCTCGAGGGTCTTCAGAAGTTGTTACTTTGTTTTCATTGGGATGGGCTCAATGGGTTTTAAGAATTAAAGTTGGCTGACAGGGAGGAGGGAAAGGATACCGTCTTTTTTTATAAAATCAAACGTTTTTGAAGTTATTTGCATACAACAGATAGGAGGAAAGGCTGAACGGAGAAAAGAAAGAAAAATAAAGAGGTGTTGAGATGCGGCTTAAAAGGGGTCTCAAACGCCGCATTCTGCCCCAGTGAGTTTCCCCCACGGAGGGCACCAGCGGGAAGAGTATTGCATTACTTGAAAGAGGGGTTGTTTGTGGCTCTTGCACACGCACTCGCTCGCACGCACGCCCCAGAGTGTTCGGCGTTCAGATGAGGGACCGGGCGAGAGGCGTGCACTCCAGAAATGGGTTAAACGTGTAATTAGAGCCCATACTGGTAGCTCCAGAAGCTTAAAGGGAGATTTATCTTCTAAGCTGTTCCGAAGGGCACAAAGCTACTCTGTGCGCTCCTGGTCAGGAGGAGCCACCGCAGCCGTTGGCCGGACTTGAAGCCACGCCATTCTGCCCAGGAAACAGGGAGAAAGGCGAGTTTGTGTCTGGATGGCTTGACCTCACAGCCCCATCGCCTTCCTTTCCCGTGCTGCGCGGTATAAAAGGCGCCTGCCTGCCTTTGCAGAAGTTTGGAGCTTTTTTTTTTTTTTTTTGGTCAAATCTGAGAGGAAAAAAAATATCTGAGGGACTCGAGGCAGGAAGCAGCGTAGCTCGTTGGACGGAGGCTCCGAACCAGCCGGATCGGAGACGATGGCTTCAGTTTTCATGTGTGGAGTGGAAGATTTCCTTTTTAGCGGCAGCCGTTTCGTGTGGAACTTGACCGTCTCGGCGCTCCGGAGATGGTACGAGCAGAGAGTGAGGGGCTGCCACCAAACCCTGAGCACGTGGTGCGGGGCAAGGGACCTTTACCAGGTAAAGCCATTTTAGCGGTTCAGGTTGGTTTTCCTTCCTGGTGCACAACCAGAATGGGGGGCGGGGGGGGGAGAAACAGAGGCTCCGTCTGAAACAGGGCGACCAATTCACCTGTGGGACGCTCTTGAATGAAAGACGTCCCTCAGATCTCTGCTTGAAAGAAACCTAATCTGCCTTCGGATTTATACTTTCCATATCTTCTAAGACAAGCGGTGAGGGGGTCCTAGCTAGCTGGTGGGATTTTTGTTCCACATCTTCGTCTTTTAAAAAAATGCAATCCCTTTCAGAACTCTTGGCCTGACAAAATTCCCTCCCGTGTTTATTTAAAACTATTAATTGGGATTGATTCTACTTTCTATCTCAGTGCCATTCATCAAGTCTGCCGTCACTTGCTACTTAAGGCGTTTACCTGAACTAATGGGAGACTTGTTGAGTCTCCATCAAGTAAGCATGCCTTGAGTTAAATGCAGTGGCAGGAGAAATTTATTTTATACTCCCTAATCCTTTTCTCCATCCTCCTACAAATTATTCTTGTTTCCTGAGTAACAAATTGTTTCAAAACATCTCATGCTCTTCCTCTTTTTCTTATGCCACTTGTGATTATTCTACCTAGCCTGAAGATCAGTGATCAAAAGGTAACTACTTGGAAAAGAAAAAAGTAGGATTGTCATTTTTATCTGTGAACAGTTTCATATTATTGGGTCATATCATTCCATAAGATCCTTTCAAATTAATTCTTTTTAAAATACAATAGATAATAAATCAGATGTCAGTTTGACCAGTCTTTGGTGTTTTCTGAGCTTGGCTGTTTTCTTACAGAAGTTTCATTAGCCAAACTAGGTAACATCATAAGTGCACTGTTACCTAGTTTGGCTAATAAAACATCTGCAAGAAAACAGCCAAGCTCAGAGAACACCAGGTAGTCTTCATTTCAACCCTGAACTATAAATATTCTCCTTTATCAGATGTTCAGGTTCTGTATAATTTCCATGTAACTTCTGTGACAGTGTATATTTTCATATGTGTGCATTTGTTTGGCTTTAAAACAATCATTTGTGGTTTAGAAAGGAACTTCTTGAGGTTATAGAACTAGTATTTGATAAAAACAGGTGTGTTGTATCCTTATGGAAATAGACTCTGTTAGTTAATGTTAATCAGATAAAGGATATTGAAATAAATGGTCTTTGGTTTTTTTTAATTGGTATCATTTTTTTCAGGATGTGGCAAAATGTAAATTTGCAGTCCTACATACTGTATATATAATCTATATAGTGTAAACATCCTAAGTGAAGTCAACCATTGATCATATTATTGCCTGGACATGGATGTCTTGATGTAGTCACTAGCACATATGCTCAGTTGAAGGAAATTTCTGCCTTTAACTTCCCACTATCAGACATATGCTAACTAGTAAGTGAATTAGAGGCTTAAACAAAATTGAGAAAGCACATAGGACATGATTTTTGGAATACGGTCCAAGTGATGTTGTACCCAAAAGATGTGCAGAGGTAGATGAATTCAGGTCCTGAGAAAAATATAAAATTCCAAAATGGTTTACTCGGAGATGGCTCTCTTTGTACAGGTAGTTGCCGACTTCTGACTGGACTCAAAAAAAGTTAGCAATGACCCATCTTTGAAAATTTGATTGCTGCATCACCCTGTGGTCATGTGATTGCATATTGGGTGGTTGGCAACCAGCTTGCATTTATAACCAGTTCCAGTGTCTCGTGGACATATGATCACCCAAAAAAAGTCCATTGGAAAAGCTGGATTCAGACTTAGAATCTTGTGATTCATTTAATGACCACAATGACTTGCTTAATGACCATCACAAAAGCAGCCATAAAATTGAGCCCAGTCATGTGGACTTAGCATCTACTGTTACTTAAGTTCCTGGTTCAATTGTGGTTGTAAGTTAGGGACTACCTGTAATGCATTGTTGTTTCAGTTATTATTTTGTTATATGTCAGGGTAGGATAGGATAGGATAGGATAGGATAGGATAGAACGGAGTGGAATGGAATAGAACAGAACGGAATGGAATGGAATAAAATCGAAAAGACAGTTGGAAGGGACCTTGGAGCAGGGGTGGGATGCTACAGGTTCTGCCTGGCTCTATAGAACCGGTGGCTCTGAAGATCAGCAGACACTGAACCCGGTTATGTGTTTGCTGCTGTTTGGCCCACCCGCCTGCCCGGGTTCTTTATTTTGTGCTTTTTTAACCTCAGCTGCTTTGCGCAGCACAGCTGAGGTTGAAATAGCAGGGGGAAAGTGACTTTTCAAACGCGCAGCACTTTTTAGTTGTCCGGGCGGCACAGCTTAAGGTTTTTTACACATGTGCCTGCAAAATATAGTCACCAAACTGGTACTAACACCGGTTGAATCCCACCCCTGCCTTGGAGGTCTTAGGCAGGAAATCCTATACCACTTCAGACAAATGGTTGTCCAATCTCTTCTTAAAAGCTTCCAGTGTTGGACCATTTACAACTTATGGAGGTAAATTGTTCCACTAATTAATTGTTCTAACTGTCAGGAAATTTCTCCTTAGTTCTAAGTTGCTCCTCTCCTTGATTAATTTCCACCCATTGCTTCTTGTCCTGTCCTCAGGTGCTTTGGAGAATAGCTTGACTCCCTCTTCTTTGTGGCAGCCCCTGAGATAATGGAACACTGCTATCATGTCATCTCCTAGTCCTTCTTTTCATTAAACTAGACATACCCAGTTCCTTTAACCATTCTTCATATATTTTAGCCTCCAGTCCCCTAATCATCTTTGTTGCTCTTCTTGTAAATGCATAATAAATTAAACTACTATTAGTATTTGCTTTGTGACATTGTCACTAGAACAGAAGAGAGAGAACAGAACACATTCCAGAAAAACAATTCCCCAGTGCATTTTTATCTTCTTTTATATGGGTGCACTGAGGTTTTTTTTTTTTTCCTGGAATGTTATCCTTCGGTAGTCTTTATCCAGATCTCAGTCAGTTTTGAACTTGCCTTTTCTTTTGCCAGCTTTTGCTCCACACTAAATTTGTTTTAGTTCTGTTCTGTTATCACAGAGTTACCCTCCTGATGTTCAGATGGAAGAAATTATGAGTTGATGAGTTTTTTAACTCTTGAGTTGAAAAAACAACTGGAAGCCATATTTGTACTAATTTTAAAATTGTTATTTTAAACATGTGTAAAGATAAAGGTTTCCCCGCACATGTGTGCTAGTTGTTTCCAGCTCTAGGGGGCAGTGCTCATCTCCGTTTCTAAGTCGAAGAGCCAGCGCTGTCCGAAGATGTCTCCGTGGTCATGTGGCCAGCATGACTAAACACCGAAGGCACACAGAACATTGTTACCTTGCCACCAAAGTGGTCTCTATTTTTCTCCTTGCATTTTTATGTGCTTTTGAACTGCTAGGTTGGCATAAGCTGGGACAAGTAACGGGAGCTCACTCCGTTACATGGGGCTAGGGATTCAAACTGCTGAACTGCCAACCTTCTGATCGACAAGCTCAGCACCTTAGTCACTGGGCCACCACATCCCTTTTTACACATGTGTATAAGCATCCAACATTTTACAGTTTACCTGAAGAATAAATAAGCAGATTGCCTTCATGTCCTTGAATTCAAATGTTAGATATTTCCATAGAATTGATCTTCCTAATAGAGAACTGAAGAGATTATTCAAATTGAATTCCCACCCATGAATCTATCAAAGCAGTTAAGACGAAAAAGTTAAAACTTTCCCAGTTGGGTTTATTTTTGTTTGCAATAACAAAAAATGACTGTACCACCCATGATGACTATTCTGTTCCAAATGACAAATTCCAATTTGAAATAAAAATCAGGACTGGCAAAGAACAGTTAACACATTTAAATAGAGCAGGATAAAATCAAGAGTAAGACTCAAAATTTTGCAAAATTCAAAAGAAAGAAGCCAAAAAAGAATATTTGTAGATCAGAGTTGAAATGAGGGATAATACAAATGTTTCATTTCCCAAAGTAGGTAACATAAGCACTTGACTAGCACTGATGATGTTACCTAGTTTGGGTAATGAAATGTCTGCAAGAAAACAACCAAGCTCAGAAAGCACCAAGGATCCCCTCAAAGAGGCAGAAATATGATGATGGAAAAATTGATCCAGAGAAATCTTTGTAGTCCCAGCAGAATCTTTTATAACTGAGTAAGAAATTCATGCCAATAGTATTAGGATTTGGCTCAACTCCCAAATCCAAGGCTGAAGCTTAGGAATCTCTAAGAATGTTGTTTATATACATCTCATGACACATTTTCCTAGAGGAGATTACTTTTATACTTTGCAAATATTCTCACACTTTTCAGTGACAAGTTTGTTCCCCATTAATATTGGTTCCTCCGGTTTCTACTATCTACAACCTGCTATCAAAGAAATGCTTAATATTCAATGCTTCTGTTTAGGTATTTATTGATGTTAAGAAACAGTTCAGTTAATAGAATAGCATTCTTTATTGGCCAAGTGTGATTGGACACACAAGGAATTTGTCTTAGTGCAAATGCTCTCAGTGTACATAAAAGAAAAGATACATTTGTCAAGAGCCAAGAATCATAAGGTACAACACTTAATAATATAGGGTATAATAAGCAATCAAATCACACTAGGAAACAGTCAATATAAATTGTAAGGATACAAGAGACAAAGTTATAGTCATACAGTCTCAACTGGGAAGGGATGATTAATAAGGAGTGATCTTAATGCGTAAGATTGTTGCAAAGTATTTGTGCTTATGTTTCATTCATGAAGGAATGGCCCAAATCTATCACTTATCTGAATCTGTTATGTTTTTAAACAGTTCGTGTCAACTTAAACACTTGTCCTGATCAATCACTATACAGATAGAGAGCTAGAGTGGGTGTAAATGGTAGAATTGAAATAGGAGAATATGGACAGGTATAATTGGAATTATCTTTAAAAAGTATTCATATATATGTAAGTATATATGAAAATGAGCATGTTTATGTATAATTATGTATATGTGA